CAAAGAATTGTATAAACACCAGAGATTCAATGTTTAAATAGCCATAGCAAATGAAAATATTTATTGTATTTGCTCACTCTGACATTTTCTATCTGAAGATGATGTAATAATAATACTTTTACTAATTCCAAAGTTTTCCTCTCATATCATCTATCACATACTTTGGACCACAATTGACATTTTCACCCTAAGCATATGAAATTATTGATTATTATTACAAATATTTTTTCTTATCATTTTTAACATTTGAGATGTGGATGTGTATTGTGTGTACATTACATGTATAAATAAAAAAAAAGTCATTAGTCTACTTTTTGTTGACATTTTTTCATTGTTGGTACTGGTCTCCTCAACACTAACAGTTAATTGTTCAGGAAAAGATGCTTTCATTATTTTTTTTAATCAATTGGCTTTCAGATGATGATGAAATAGGGAGATCATATATTAGCAAGTTAAAGAAACATTCAAAATTGTATGTTGGATGATGGCAACCTTAAAAAAAAATTATTATTAATATATAATTTTAACACAGAAAAATTAAAGATAAAAATTTCTTTATGTTTATTTTATCACATTCTATTGCAAGTCTACCTACAGTCAAAGAAATTTTACTTTTTATAATATTTTAGAACTTTCATAATTGAACACTTTTGAACCACTGACACCTAATTTATTTTTTCAAGAAGCCTTGTTATCATATTTAAAATACATTTGGATTAGGGCGATGAGATATAAAAATAATAAAAAAATATGTATGTATCAACAAAGTTATTAATAAATTCTAAATTAATAAAGCAAGTCCCACATCTGATTGTATTCAATATAATATTAAGATAATTCAAGTTAATTTTTAATCAGTGTACGAATTTAATTCTTTTATTTTGTAAACAGGACTCTGAAAATATCCTGGATCAAAATTGAAAATAAGGATAGGAAAGATTCAATTAAAAAAATTCCAATTAGGTAAAAATTAAAAAAAAATAAACACTACATGTTTATATTTTTTTGCAAAATATCCCCCGTCACATGTCACATTTCATGAAACAAATCTTTAATTGATGCAAAGTGAGATTCAATAACTAATGTTGAGGATGAATATTAAATCATTACTAGAAACAGAAAATTTCCTAAGAAAAAAAAGGCATCAAATTATTTATTTATGTTTCGATTTTAGTCAGGACTTTTACTTTACCTTCACCAAGTTTTTTTTTTACTTGCATCAAGGTTTTTGTTTACTTTTGTCAAATTGTCAAGACGCAACTTGGTCTTTAATCAACGACTAAAGTCAAAAATTTCATCATGCACAATAGAAATATTGAAAAAGTCATCTATATTTCGAAGAGTTTATTATTGTTTTGGAAATACAAAACGGGTATGGTCTTTAACTAAAAATATTCCGCGTGAAGGGTTACATGTAGAGATGATATTATCTCAAGAATTTTTCTTTTCACATCATGGTCCATTATTCATAGCATCATTAATCTTGACGAAAGTAAAAAGCAATTGAGATATTTTTAGGTGACAAATTTTCATAAAGCTTTCAATGTTTTCAATTTTAATGATTTTAATCACTCGTAACTTTTATACTATCCCGGAAATTTCGTCAACATGCATTAATTATTAAATTTAAAGTACTCATTTTACTGCAAATTCTTTGGTTGTTTGAAATACATATAAAATAACTGGTGTATTTACTTCTGACAAAATTAACAATTGTTTTTCTTTCATATTTCCAACTTCTCTGGTAAAAAATATAAAATAAAAAGCTTAAGATTAAATTTCCTAAATATTCAAAATCAAAAGCTTTTATAAAGTCAATTCATACATGAAAAAGTGCATGAAATGGTTCAGCTATATGTGTGGACAAAAGGCAAATACATTAACATTGTAACTGAAATCAATTTTATTACTCTTCTAAAAGCTATTTTCCGTTTCTACTACATAATCGAATCTGCATTTTATTAAAATCTATATCACCTCAAAGATACAATTAATTTCAGTTTTACACTAAAGGATAAAGACCCTTCTCGGCGATCAATTCAATAGCTGGTTCTTTAGTTTGATTACCATCCCAATTAATGTTGTATAGGAGGAATAAATTTATATATAAGAGTTTATCCTATACTTATTTTGTCTTCTTTTCCTAATTATAAATCCAAGAGCAGATCCTACACAAGTACAAGAAAGAATGCTTTCTTTATATATAGAGCTTTATCCCATTATCTTTTTGTCTAACTTATCAAAACTAGAATTGTGACTATTGGAAGAAAGTTGATTAAAGTCTAAACCATAATTATTTCATTGTACCAGTAGACCAAATTTACTTGTGAACTTTTTCTATTTCTCATTAATAACCAAATCATCACAACTCTCAGGATGTTTTTGAATAAACTCATTATAGAAGTCAAGATTGTTGTCAACAATCTTATATGATACATAAGGACAAACATGGTCATTATAACCCCTCCCCGAGGATCAGACAACAAAAATATATATGTAATTTTAATTTCTTCGTTACTACGAAACAGGAGCTGGTTTCAACATCAGAAAAATTAAAAGAACCGCATAAAGATAATTTACAATCGTTTATTTTATTGATATTAAAAAAAATAAAACTTTCAGGTATTATTATCATCAAAAGAAAATCTACAAGTCATGACGAAATATTGAGTAAATGGCATAACCCACTAAAATAACAATGATGATGTTGAGAAAATCAATAATAATATCAACAATGAAACAAAAATTTTTAATTCATAACTCATACGGTTCTGATTCAGTTAACAACAATTCCAGGATCTTCAAAAACAGTTATTGGATGAATTAATTGTACTACCAAAGTGGAGTTGTTGAAATTAATAAAATGGTAACAATTATTTATTTTTATTTTCAAGTCAGCAACAATAAATTATTCTAAAGTGAATATAAAATTATTTCTTAACTAAATAACTTGAAAATGAATTTTGGCGTAGCAGATTTCATTTTAGAAGAAAGATCAATATGCTTTTTTGATGATTCTTTTTTTAATGTACTATTTTTTACTATGATCAGAAATTAAGAATTCAGATTAATAGAAAGAAATATGTTTAAATTACTTTAAAGTCTAATCAAAAAATGTCTGATACAATGAGAAGTAATTTAAATAAGCAAATTGGTAATAATAATGATAATAACAACAAGTGGTAAACGTATTAATTAATTGATATTATTTTCTTGGTTTATTTAATTATGTGATAATTTACAGAAAATAAATTTTGTAAATTTATTTTTAAAACACACATCAGCCAGTAACGAATCAACATTATTTTTCACTCTTTTTTTTAGTGAAAGAAAACTTCATTATTATTATTGTTAAATTTCTCTAGTAAAAAAATACATGCATGCTAATTTATTAGCTACAAGTTTAAACACCAAGAATCATTATTAAATAACTTCCTACATATACTAAATACTCTAAAAAATATTCAAAACCAAGAGTAAGTATATGGTAATAAATAGGAATAATCGTGAAGGACTCTTGTAACATTTGTATTGGAAATTGCACAAATCCTAGCGAAATAATAATTAAAAGAACACCAAAAAGGAAGTACATGATATACACACAAATAGGCATAATAAAAAGTAAATAAAAAATAATAATAATGCCCGCTGAAAACAAAACAAATAAAATAAGTGATATAATAATTACTATCATTCCTATAAAACATACACCAAATAAACAAAATTTAAGAAAAATTGTCATTAACTCCACAAAAAAAAGTTTTGGAAATCCAAGAATTTCATTAAGTTCTGGAAATATTTTAGGTTTTGGATGTATTTGAGATTCCCGAGACATCTGAATTTTTCGATGCAGAAATATGAGTGATGCTGCAAAAGATAAAATAATAGTAACTATTATGATGATATTATCATATTTAGGATATAGGATCACACCTTGAGCAGTTGTTGGAATGATTAATAGTATTGGTCTTAGAAACTCATTATAATTACTGATCAAAATCATAATTATTTTAAAAATTTCAATATAAAAAGAATTGTAATTTTTT